GCCTGCCGCTGTGGATCCAGCTGGTGGCCGGACAGAGCCTTCTGCTGCTGTCTGCTGATGGACGGACTCCTTTTGAGTCGCGCAGAAGCGTGTGCTCTGTGCTGAGGCTCCAGGCTTCTTCCACCAGGGCAGCCTGCCACTTCCTGCAGCAACGAGGCAACTCCCTGGGGAACGAGGCCTCTGAAATGAAACAGCGGCCCAGCTGGTGAGCGCAGGCCTGGTGCTAGAACGGGCCCCTTGTCCCGGGTGATGCGCGCTCGGAGGAGTGGGGAGCGCGAACGCGAGCGTCAAACAGCCCTGGGAGTTCTGGGAGCCCCCGGTTCCTGCCAAAGGGCACTTTCTGGGAGAGACCCTCCCCCCACCGCAGTGCCCCCCACAGCTGCACAGAGCTGCCCGGCTTACGTCACTTGAGCACCTGGCCCGGGGTAGACAAATGCTGGGACCTGGCAACAGAACCCCCCAGCCAGCGCCCGGGGGTTCTCCAGAGCAGGCGGGCGTGTTCCCAGCGAGGGCGGACTGGCCAAGGAACGGGGATAGTTCAGATCCCCCCAGCCCTAGTGCATGACCCACGCCCTGCGCCCCCAAGGCTGGGTGCCCCAGACCACACCAGTCCGGAGGGAATTCGATCCCCCACGCCGGCCCCCTTGGCACTGCGTTAGCCAGGCAAACAGAAAACACTTTGCTCCAGCCCCCAAAGCAAACTTGGCTCCCGACTCGAGCGCAGATGCCGGAAGCAGGGGTGCTGGGAGAGTGGCTTGAAGTGGCTTCCCTCATTCCCAGGGGTTACAGCACCCCCACTCTACAAATTGTTCCAGCACCCGTGGGTGCCAGAGCTCCTCTGGGCAGTCCAGCTCCCCTCCCCGGGCTCACACAGCCTTGGCCCCCCATGGCGAGTCTCTCAGGACAGCTCTCTCTGGCCTTCTGGTAGCTGGTGTGAAGATCCCCCTCCCTCCAGACTTCTCTGACCCCTGGTTTGAGAGCAGCAAACCCCTTCCCTAGAAGACGCCATTTCTAGCTGAGTCTAGCTCTGTGAGCCGGGCTAGCCACATGTGTTTCTACTGGTGGTGCATATTAGGTCAGACTATCTAGCCCTGGGTTCCCCTTCCCTGCACGAGGAGAGAGAGGAGCCGCCAGGCCAGGCTCCCCCTCAGCCCCCG